TATTTAAAACTTCACCTAACTTGGTTTATTACTAGTTAACTCCAGACATGAAAAGGGTACTGTGGAAATTCCCTAACTATTTGCTCCAGACTGGAATTTAACCTGGGAAGGATATAGAAAAGTCTTTACCCTCATTAGACATTATTTATGATTATGAAACTGCAAGAAACCATTCCTAATCTAGGAGTGTAGTGATGGTCACAAAAGGGTTCGGCCACACTTGAGCTTTGCCTGCACTAAGGAGGCAGCTGCCTTCCCTCCTGACTCTGGATTTCTGTAGGAGTTTATGCGTTGTGCTCCCCCCCCCGCCCAGCCTTTTCAGCTGAGGTAAAACTGAGTGTTTTGACCTAAACCCATTTTAAATCCCATACAATGTCAAGATAGACATCTAACGTCTTAAACTTGAATTTATTTTTCAAGTCCATCCTGTCTGCTGAGCCATCAAATTAGTGTTAAGATGTACATGTATTTTGCTGTGCAGTGTTTTTATTTGGGTTGAGCAAAAACTTTGACCTACATACTGCTGATAATATAAATAAATATAAATAAATATTGACTGTAAAGAAGCCCTGTGGCCACGTCCAGGGTGACAGCTGGGACTCCTGAGGGGAGGGTTTGATAGCCTACAAAATGTGGATATTCTTGTAGTTGTTAAGGTCAGATTTCAAAAGGGGATGCCAGAATAATCTCATTGTGCATCTAGTGGAAGAGTCATCTCCCCAAAACCAAGGGTAATAGCCTTGGGTGTGAGTAGCGCTGACCATAAAGTCATGACTGGAAGTCAGAGTAATATTACTGCTAATGCCAAATATTCTGTCTTTCAGAGAAGCTCTTCTTCATACCACCTGTCCTGGCAACCTGCCCAGCAAGTGCCAGACTACGCAGGAAGAACATTTGACCGAAATCAAAATGCATCCTACAGAGAGGTGAGGTGGACAAAAGGCGGCAGTCTCTGCTAGATGTCCCTATATAGAACCTGGGGCGTGATGTGGACAATGGGCATATGTTGAACAAAGAGGTCATCCTGTATGTATAGAAATCGTTTTAAAGATTGATTTGAACACGTACAAAAATGTAATCAGAATAGCTGTTGGAATAGTCATACTCACAGACCTGTGTAAGATCTGGAGAGTATGGGTTTGTTACAGGTATCTTTTTAAATACAAGATAACATTGACCCATGAGGGAAACATCAACCTAAGTCTACTTGTGAATTTTGTTTTCAGTATCCCTACTCTGCTGGGACCTCGAGGGGGACTGACTTCCCACTAGGTAAGCAACAAATGCTAAACACAGAAAGCAGCTTTTAGCTCAGCTCAGTAAAAATGTTTGATATAGTACAGACACAGCATAACAGCTTGATGTAAGGGACACAGGACTTCTGCATCCTGTATAAAGAGAAAACAAAAAGACCGGGTTTCTGGGATAGCGTTTTCCATAGGACATGCTTATGGGTAGCTTGTTGTGATGCTGGTGGTGGCTTCTGAAGACTAATCGCAAGATTCTGCATACCAGAAGGTTGAATTTCTGTGGGTAAATGAGCCATTTTTTCTTATACGAGCAGCCACAGGCAAGAATATTACATCACATTAGAGATACGCTTCACATCTTGGTGTGAATCTCAGAGGAGGTTATTAATGATGTAGGGTCCCAAGGATATTGCATGTCTGGAATAAAAATGCTATGGAAACTCGCGTGGCAGCTTGAACTATTCCTGGTTTACACAAACATGTAACTTCATTCCAAATATTTGGCAGATGAGACACTTTATATAGCATGGTTTGTTTTTTTTCCACGGGGGCGGTTATTATACCGACAGCAGCACAGTTAATGTTACTCCCTTTGTGAAAAACAGAGTGGGAGCCGTCCCAGCCCAGCAGCAGGCCCGGCGCGGCTGAGGCGGTGGCGCTCGCTCTGCGTGCCAGAGAAGCACTTCAGTGGGAAGACGAAGGTGATGACAAATACTTTCGACCGTGAGCAGGCAGAATCAACAATGAACGTGAAGTTACTGACTGATGTGGTGCAGAAAGCAATACTCATTTGCACTAATGACTGAAAGAATCATTCAAACATCTTTTTTTTTTTTTTTTTTTACCCCTAAATGGAAAAAAAATAAATAGAAGATCGCAAAATGCATCCCGACTGCTATTTATTACTATGAAAGGAAATATCCTGCGTATTTGGTCTGGTTTTGAAGCAGTGCTACTCTGGTGAGAGTCAGCCTTCCCCCAGGACTGGCCATTACCTCGGTACAGTAAGGGTCCCTCAGCAGCCGGTCACTTCTTGTTGACTAAATAGAAGGAAACTTGTGCCTAATTGTAAACAAAACCTTTGGACTAAAAATATTTTTATATAAGTTGTATTGTTCAAACCGCTTTTATCTGATCTAAACCAAAAGTGAAGTATGGGTGAAACAAAAACAGAAGGGAAGGTAAGTGCTGTTGTTTTTAATCGCAGACATTTTAATGGCTGCGAAGTAACTCGCGTGAGCCAAGTTAAGCTTCTATTCCACTTCCACTTTTCTGAGCCATTTTTACAGTTTATTAGTCACTCAAAAGCAGCTTTGATGCTAACGCTTACCAGAACTCTTGTTAAAGACTACTTTATCACAGTTCTCATCTGGGTAAACCACTACTCATAAACAAAAAGCTTACACCTATCTTTTCCAGTAAAGCATAGATTGGAAGTCACACAATGGAGGTTTGTTTTTATCATATGTGACTGAGACACTTGATGCAACTTTTTATTCAGAGCCTCAACTTTGCCATGATGGTTTGTTTGGCTTTTTTAGCCCATTTTCTACAGCCACCTGCTTTATTCCTCCCTCATTGCTTAGGACATAAAAATGCCTTAGCAAAGAGGCGCAGCTTTTCCTCATAGGTTGAAGACAACCCAAAACCAGCCATCAGAGGTACAGAAGAGAGGACAAACTTTACACACAAGGTCAGACCAGAGATTCAGTTTTACTGTTTTTTTGCATATGTAGCTGTGGAGTCTGGCTGTGAATATTGAGTATGTCCCCACTGTTTGCGCTGAGGGTGGAGACTCAGCCACCAACAAAAAATGAACTTTTGGAGCACGGGCCATTTGCTCTTCCAGTGGCTGCTCGGGGAGCACCTGTAGAGCACAGCCATAAAGGCAGAGGCGACAGCACTCATGGGATGGCTGGACAGAAACTGGTTGAGGACATAACGTACACATGCTGTAGGATGTGCACCACAAGACAGATTGTTGGTTCTGCAGTACAGGGCGGATGAGTGATGTGAACTGAAGAGGCTGTCATCATCCTGACAGGAAAAAACACCTCCTTACGCCTGTGTTTCTTTATGCTTATATATAGCTTAAGCTACAAGGGAAAAATCCATCACCCCTTGCAGATGGTAGCACTGATCTGCTGCTAATGCAGAAGTACCTTAATTGGGACAATCATGTAGTTCTTTCCACTGATGACTGATTTCTTTTTTTTAAATTACCTTTTGCCTCCTTTAGAGAAGTTTGGGTTTTTTTAAATCTCAGTTGGATCTGTGCATGAAAACTATCTCTAACAATGAGACATGCTATCAAGAACATTTCTCTCCAAAGCAACGTACCAAATTGTACCACTGATCCATACAGTCTGCCCTTCCATTTCCCCTAGCACATCTTAAAGGGATCACCCAGCACGCTTTGCAGCACCTCCGCTGAAACACAGCAACCCCCACACAAGGAAACGATGAATTAGCACAAGGAATTATCTTACTAAAACGTGGTTACACTTTCTAGTCATACATTGCTACATGGGCAGTGTAAGGTATCCTGTGAGATAACGTCTGAATAACCTGCAGGCAGTAACCAATCAGTTAAATGTGCAAATTCCTCATTTCTGTTGAAATTAGCATCACATTCTGAAATGAAATTACTAAACTTTGTAATCCCATGTATTGGCCATTAAGAAAAGGCAGTCTAATTTATGTTAGGGCTGGCTCCATGGGAGTCTCCTGCTCTTGCTGATCATTGAGTCTTCTCTAACAACAGCTCCTCCCATAGCAGAGCCAAAATAGTTCACAGCGCCTTGATGGTGGCTGTGAGAACACGCTGGGGTTTTACTTCTCAGAAAAAATAGCAAGCAACCTGCTCTACTTTTGACATTTTACATCAATCTACTGGTGCACAGCTGATAAATAATGCCACACACGTGAGCTATCAGATACGTGTTTATTGTAACTGCAGACTTTTTTGATTTCAAGTTAAACCTGGATAACGGTTTCCCCCGTCTCCCTGCGAGTGCCCTTCAATCATGCAAACAATAAGCAAAGCAAAAGACATTTCAGCTCTATTTGTTCTACCACTAATGGCACTCGATATATAGCTTTCTTTTAAAAATAAATACATTGATGTGCTGTATCATTAGAAGACATCATCTTCTATCCTTCCTTGGTTCTTTTTAAAAGTCTGTAAGGTAAGAAGATACCTGAGTTTTATTCATTAATTCTCATAGTCTTCACCTTTAGCATGAAAAGCTGGCTTGCTTTTCCTTGTCAAGACGCAGCACAGCCATGTTTCCATGCAGCAGGAGGGAAACACACTCACCCGCTATGTTGGCACCATTATTTTCAGGTTCCGAGATGTTTTTAAGATGCCATAAATCAACCTCAAATCATTATACAGTCAGAACAGACTGTTTAAATCACTCAAGTAAAGGTATGATTTTAAATTTTCCCACCAAAAATATCCGATATGACTTCATAACCAAGACTTAAATGAAACAAAAGCATAGTCTGAGGATTATAAAGCAACCTGCACATACAGGGTGTTGCCCAGTCAGCTTGTCAAAACTCATCCTTTTACATTACAGAGTGATCTCCTCAGGCTGTGAACAGCTGTACCTCAGCTTTGTCCAGTGTCGCACAGAGGGTTTTTCTGCATTCGAGATCTGACCGTACAGCAGAAGTAAACTACTGCTCTTCCTTCTCCCAGAACTGTGGTTAGTGGTCCCCTCTGCACCAGTGGATACCCCCTCGATGGTGAATTCAGACCTGTCCGACTAAGACAGCTTATTTGGGTCGGTGGTGTCTACAAAGCACAGGTCTAGTAATGAGGATCACAGTCTTCCACTAAGCTGTCGGTGATGTAGCTGGATTCAAGAACGGTTTCGTAATAGCTTTTTTCGGCAAATGTGTTCACTGTCCAGGCAACCACCTGAATTCCTTTTGAAGACCAGTGCCTCACATACTCCCTGCACAGAACAAAGACACCGTAAGAGAAAGGAGGACACTACAATATTTAACGCAGAGTGCTGAGGCTACAACTGAGTTTTAGTCTTTTATCAGTATTGTGTCATCTTTTGCAACAGTATCTTTGTGTTTTGTTACTGTAAACAAGCAAAAGCAACAGTCATCTTCCCCTTTGAGATTAAACTTAGGATCTAACATAAGATAAAAATGGATTGAAAAGATAAAGGCTTAAAATAATAAAATAGCATGCAGTAAAGAAACTATCTAAACAACTGTACCCAACACTAAATGGAACACATTGATTAACATATGCTATGTTAAGTCCACCTTTATATGCTAATAGAACGATACTGCCTCCTGATAGATGAGCAACCTTTCACACTTACTGAGAAACAAAATTTTTCTGTATGAGGAAAGCTGAAACCCCACACAATCGCCACAAGAAATTGTGCAGGCTCCAATCTAGAATGACATCCATCGTCATGTACAGATAATGTTTCCAGGAGGAATTGAAACGGGGTGTCCCATCTCCAAAATGACTCAGGTGCCAAGGCCTGTGTGTTAGTGCTGTTACAACATTTCTGTCAGCTTGTCTCATCTGGAACATCAAGGGGAAAAGACTGTAATTCATACAAAAGCAATATAAATGGGGAGAAGTTAGATACAAAGTGCTAGCTTGCACTTACAAATTTACCAGAATCCCTCTCCCCCAGTCCAGTTCCTTTTTAAGTCTTTTAGAAAGCTGTTCATGATGTTTTTCTGTATTTTCTTTAAGACATACTGAATAAGCAACTGCTCTGATGTTAAAAAAATTGCTTAACAGTCAGGCAATGGAAAAAAATACATAGTAAATGGACTTTGCAATGAGAATTAGGAAACAGTTTTAAGAATAGTCTACATTTACATCAAAATATGAGATTTATTTAACAAGGACATTGTACACAGGTACCTGGCCGCATGCCAACTGCAACAGCAACGCACTTTTCTCAGCATAGCTTTCACAATGGAGGGAATTGCTATAGGTTCATGTGTGCATCTAATGAGCACAGTGATCTAGTAAGATTATGCAAGAGACTTATGATTTATGCTTCAATTTTTTAAAAAAGTCTTGACTATTTTAACAGCCCAAAAGTAATCTGGAACTGGGAGCTGCATATCTTACTGAAATTCCCAGACAGAACTAAAAAAATCCAAAATCAACTTTTAGGAAGCATCACCTTATAAACAACATCTGGCATGAAAGAACAGACTATGCTGCTGTTATACAAACGCGGAAATTCCAGGTAGAGTTGTTTTAGGGCGTCAACTGCCTGCCAATTAGAGATACACACAGATGTTAGATTTATGCATATGTTCGTATTTACTTGACACTGCAAAGTCACTTTAGAATAACCCCTTTTAAAAATACTTTTCTGTTTTGCGTAACAAGATTGAAATGGAAAGGAGGGAGAAGAAAAACAGCATCTTGTTTATACCATTAACACAGAAATGACATTTTGTTTTTTGCAACAAAAGTCCTTTTCATGATTCCATTTACAGCAATCAGTAGCAGTCTCAGTGTTTGAAATACCCTTAAATGTATTGTGGATAAAATTCTGAAGTACTACCTAGGGTTTAGTTCAAGGGGAAAAGTGAATTTATTTCTGTATTTTGCTATACTAAAGAAAAAATTACTCTAATTTGCATAAAATGTTAACGATTGATCACCTGTCCCTCCCTTCAGTAATGCAAATTACAGACAAACAGGATCCCTAGTTGGAGGCTGAAGATGAGATACTAGCTCCCCTCAGCACAGGCAGGGAATTTACTTTGCTTTGTTTCATGGTGGTGCTGTGAGCTGAACTCAACCCTCACACTAGTCTCATGCTAATTTTAAGTTGCAGCTTCCCAGGACAATGGAATGGGATGAGGGAACACTTCTTTGCTTTGACAGCCCAACTTTGGATGACACAAATAGCAGACCCAGTCTCATTCATATTAGAGAAGGGATTGTACCACGCTTCTCAATTTGAGAACAGAAAAGCAGATTAGAAACTCAAAGTAAGGGTGAAGGAAGGTGTCTTAGAGCAAGCAGTACCTGATTTGCGTGGCCTTTGACATCGAAGTAGATTATAAGATTGTGATGCATAGACTCCACAACAGCTTCTCTCAGGGTCGGTACCTTTTCACCCTGGAATTTGTTCCTGTAGAAACGGAGAACTCCTCACTGGAATGCAGTCAAGATACACATGTGCATACACACGAGCACTCACATCCCCAACTACACAGAGCTGTTTCCTAGGGATTCCTGAACGTAATTTGCTGATACACAAGTATTAGAGGTGGGATCAAGGACCACTAGCAATGGCATTGGTGGCTCTCTCACCCAGCAAAAGGCTGCACAGGTAGAGGGATATGTGCACACCTCCTCTTCTCCCAGAATCCCACTAGACAATTATATCCTTCAAATTCAAGGTCTAATCTGATGCTCACTGACCCTGTATCCCTCACCAAAACGCTAACCTCAGTTCTTCACCTCCTTCCTCAAGGACCACAAACTGGCATTTGGTCCCAACTGCCGACCACCTGTCCACCCCCTTCACCCTACTCTGGCTGTGCTCCCCAGCCCTGAGCCAGAAACGCAGATCCGGGCACAATAAGCAAGACAAGCTGGGGACGTGGGAAAAGCAGCTTCGCACATCAATAAATTATTCCTGATAAGGTAACAGTGAACAACAGCTGATCAGTTTTAACTGCCCATGTGGAAGTTCTCACAGAGTGGCTCAGGTGATCACCTTTCCAGTAATAGACAGGGAAGATGCTACTTGTACCACAGCCTCACAGGTGGTACATTTACAAGAGTCTGGAAATCCCTAACTCAGCGTCTCAGAAATACAAAGAACACACACTAAAATTTCTTCCTCTAAAATGGATTCAGCTATGATACTGTAGAAGTTGCATTGTTATCAAAATTTTAGTAACGTATAAAAATATTTTCCCCTGCATACCACTGGAAAGGACCTCATCAACCACTGGGGTCACGGCTCCTACCTGAGGCTACCCAGGAAATCTGTCTAGCTCCTTTTCAACAGGATAATCCTGATGTTTAGGAATTGTAAAATTACAAAATCCCCAAAACATAACCAGTCAAAAAATACATGTGAAAAAAGTTAATTTTATTAGTAATTACTGAAGCCAATTTTGACACATTGTGAAACTCACAGTATCTTTAGTGTTCTGCAGTCATTTTAGGGGAAGCTTATGTAGACATTAACTTCTTTCACATTAGGTGCCTGTGGATTTTGTCCTTAAAAGCTAATTATCTTGACTCTGCTTCACTGTTCCTATTGCAAGGATAGGTAAGGAGATAGTCTCACACGTTTCTAAAATCAAATGAGAAGTAACATATGGGACTCTTAAGTTTTAAATGTACAAACATTTTCATCAGTGACAGATCAAATCAATAATTTTGTTTTTCAAGAATGGGTTTTTTTCACTGTTGAAACAGTAGTTTCAGAATAGCAATAGCTCATTTACCCTAGCCAATGTTTTGCAGATGGATTAAGCCTCCTAATTTCATCAAAAGTCAAGTCACACAATCTTCCAGACCCATCCGTTGTCCTGTCTACTGTTTCATCATGCATTAGAATGGGAACACCATCTGCAGTAAATTCAAGATCCAGCTCAACACCTGTTGCTCCATTTTCAGCTGCCTTGAACAAAAAAATAAAAAAAATCACATACACAACAGACAGCTTTATAGATTTAATGTAGGTACAGCTATAATTAGTTCGTATTCTGGTAAAAAAATAAACTATTAATATAACTTTCAATAAGCGTAATCTGTAGAACAAAGTAGATTTCATCCAGGTTATTGTAAGAAGTACGCATAGATCAACTGGAAGTATACAATCTATTTTACATATAAAACCATAGCGATAATGTTTCCATCTTGGGATTGGGACTGTTTCAGGATAAAAATGCAGAAAAGAATCCCGCTCTGTCCTTCTGGTCCAATAATTCCTGAGTCCTTAAGTTATGTTACTTTCTAAAACAGGAGGGAAGCAAATGCCTACAGTTTAGATAATTTATAGATTAACACTTAGAAGCCAGAATCAGAGCATGCCATCAGAGCATAAAGTCTTTGCTTGCACAAGGAAAAGCTATCATCCCTTTTTTTATAGAACACAGGTGCAATATTTCCTTTAAGACACAGATTTACCATTCATGTGCAGTACGGTTGATCTATATCTATATCTACCATACATTGTAGATATAGAACTTCCCAGAAGCACCACTTACCATGCTTGTACTAAATAGATGCATGTAGCCAAATCCCAGCTCCTATCTGAGGAATCCCTACATCAGAGAACAAGAAGCAGCTGGGCTGCCTTAGAACATTTCATACATCTTGCTCCTGCCCTGGCTCCTTCCCAGGAGCTCTTCAAAAAAGCACGCAAGTGAACTGCAAGCAAGACGAATTGTTCTGAAGGCCAAATGCCTTCCTGGGAAAAGGGCCAATGCACCAGAAAGACAAATGCCAGGTATGCACTAGAGGCTACTCTAGAGGTACTGGCCAAGTAAGGATCTCTATTGTGCAGCTTCAGAATTTATCAGAACAAAGAGCCCTGCCTCACCCAAAGGTAAGAAACCACCAGAGCAGCAACATCTTATCATCGCAGATATACTACATTTGACAGACTGCTAATCACAATTTCAAATTACTCTCAGCACCATGGTACCTCCCAGAAGAGGCAGCAGTAAGTTTCATGGCAGGGCTGTACACAGTGAAGTTCTGAAAGTATCAAATTCTGCCATAACTGTGGATTCTCATTACATTTTGAGCCTCTTCAAGGCTTAAAAAACAAACAATCTGTTACTAATGTGCTGTCAGCTCTCCGCTCTCTGTTGCAACATCAAAAAAAAGACAGTATTTCATTATTTTGCTCCACTGCTAAAAAAATCCATCAGCACCAAGGATATATAATACAGTTCCCACAGAAAGACTCAGATCTGCTCAAACTGTTCTGATTCCACTCGGGGATGAAGGACTGACAAGCAATAGAGCTTCCTGCAGCAAGTCAGAAGAAGCTGATGTTATTCGGGGTGATGAGAGCTTGGTGCCTGCTGAAAAGGCAGATTATCAAACATATTATCAACACGGGATTGTATTACTGCCCACCGATTTCAGCCTCACACCCACCAGACCTAGGGGAGACAGGCTCCCCGAGGCGCCCTCTGCCTCCACAGAGCATTTGGCAGCTTTGCCTCACACTTCCAACCCCATCCCGGGCTTCGCGCGTCCCTTAGCGGCGGGGAGCGTTAAACGCGCTTCCAGCGCCCTCCAGGACACGGCCGGGGCTCTGAGCCGAGACGGGCCGGGTCGGGCTCGGAGGGGCTCGGGGAGGGGCGGCGGGCGCGGCCACGGGGAGGCCCCGCCGGGCTGACCTGTCGGATGGC